TCGTTGCCATCGCAAAGAGCTCGGTGGCATGGACGGCGCAGTCATTAGAGGGTGTAACTCGAGGTTGTGGCTCTACGAAGCGTTCATGTGCCACTCCGGGTTTTCAGCTGTGGGAGGCCGAGAAGGGCGATCCGTTAGGTGGAGCCATCATGCAGTATGGAGGGGGCGGAGGGGGTCAAGCGTCGCGCGATGAGCGCAGCAGGTGCGAGAAAGTTAGGAGGGAGGAGCGACGGTGGAGAGGGACAGAGTCGGAGGGAGGGAGCCGCCTCTTTTATAGAACTCGAAAGCGGCGGCAGGCCCGTGCACGCGCGTTGCCCGATCGGGCGGGCGCCAAACCCCGCCTGCCATACCTCGCGACTGAGATTATACCTAAAATGGTAATATGTGGTTTAATTAGTAAGATATAGGCCTAGGTGTATAGATACGCTAGGCGTATACGTATTAATGGATGACTTACCTAAGTGTTAGCTACAATCCTGTAGTTGCCTTGTACTAGTATTGCTCGCAACGGAATTAGGGCCTGTTTCCGCTTCAACTAGAGAATCTAGTTCACCTTTAGATTCGACCAATCCGCCTGATGTACGGATACTTAATCCTAGGCCGGACTTAAGGTTTCTTCTAGGCTAGCTACAGGATGAGCTAACCCCAACGCTGTAGTACCAGCCTTTAAAATAGAAAGGCACGAGACAAACCCCACGTAGTTAGTTCCGCGCACTACTAACTGCCTCGGAGTCTTAGGCGAAGTGCGGGGTAGTTAGTTACGGGGCTATGGATAGTTAGCTGCTGGAGCTGTGTATTTTAACTCATACAACATCGCCAGAGATTTCCATTCTCTGTACAAATAGCTTCCACTTTACTACCATGGCAGCGGACCGCCTGCTGGGTGCTGCGCCCGTAGCTTGCGTGTCCTGCCGCAGGCTGAAGGTGTGTTGTGCTACTCATTAAGCCACATGGATGGATGACTGACCAATTTGCAGATGAGATGCATTGGCGCTGCCAATCCGCCGTGCGCCCGCTGTGTTAAGAGCAACCGCGAATGCATGGTCCAACTCCCAAACCGTCAGCAACGTCACTTGCCGCCGTCCAGTTCCAATGCAGTGACTTCACCTAATCCTCTCGTTGAGCATACACCATCGCCAGGAGTCAGTCATGAGTCTGCATCACTCGCTGTACGAACAGAGGCTGCTAGTCAGCTTCAGGAACCATCTCCAGGGCTAGCCTCGGAACAGCGGAATCCATTACTCTACCAAACGAGTCTGCCGTCCATATTTTCCTCGTCACCAATTACTATTGCCTCGACAATGGCCTCTGAGAGTGATAGCCCTTCCGGTGGCGTGCCTGCTTCTCATACTAGACTTGAATTAGATCAGGTTTCGCATTCTATAATTCTTGACCTGGTCGAATTGTGAGTTTCCCGAAATATCACGGAACCGGCTTAAACTCGGAGCGGCTAATGCCAATTGTTCTTCCTAGCTTTCTCCAGAAAATGATCTGCTATACACCCGTTCTCTCGTTGGAACAGTTGGATAATCCTGAGAGTTTGATCAGCAGCCGGCGGCCTCTTGCATATGCCATGGCATTTGTTGCATCAACTCATAGTCCAGGTTACACTTCAACACGCCTCGCTCTACTTCCACACATGTTGAAAATGCTGAAAGAGCCTCACGATGCCATAGATAATACTCAAAAAGAAAACTGGACTTTGCTGCAAGCTCTGGCCGTTCTTTACGCGTACCCAAGAGTGGCTGCAGTATCTAAACAGGATAAAGAAAAGCAGATGAGTCCGTGGGCTGTCAAGTCTGCGGTGGAGACGTGCGCCATGCAGGTCTCGCTTCATCAGTCTGTCGAGGATCTCAAGGCACTCATAGAATCCCGCGAATTGGACATATTGTCGTCGCTGCCGTACCGCTGCGCCTTCTTTTGGTTGTGGCTATTTGTCAAATCTCGCCACCACTCCGTCTTGACTAGAACTCCACCTACTATACCCTATGACCAGACTATCGCCTCCACACTGGATCTCATCATGAACTTGGATCCTTCGCCGGGCGTTTGGAGGGTCTTGGCAGAAGCGGCCCTTCATCACAAGTGGGACCAAGCTGCTCGTCTTGACAAGAGCTTGCCCGAATGGTGGTGTGTGCTTCCGGATATTAAGGATGGCGGAGCCTTGCCAGAGCTTCTGGAGAACGTCGAAAACCTGTTGCAAGAATGGCATTCCGAGTGGCTTTCGCCTACTGAAATAAGCTCTCCTAGTAGGAGTTCCGTCGCCTCCAATTTTCAGGACCCGTCCATCTTCGCGAATTCCATTACTGCCTTCATGGGTATTCTGACACGATTCAACATCGTTTCTTTTGCAACACCTATCATTTCGCATCAGCTAGTTACCAAAACTGGTCTCGGTATCTTTCCATCAATGACTGCGCAATCGCCCGAACTATCTGCCTTTCTCAATTGCGTGTTAAAGTCAGCAGATGCAGCCGCTACATGCTGCGACAGCATCCTTGACCTTAAGCCCGTAGCGAGGGAACAGTTAAGATACATGCCTGACTACGGCTTTACCATGCTTGCTCTCTGTTGTCTGCATCTGGTGTATGCAGACAACATATCTCCAGAAAATTCTACATTAAAAAGCTATCTCATGAAGGCTGAGCGGGTAGCGTCTCTAATGATGGACTTGAGCGTCGGGTGCAATGTATGCCCGAAGATCTACGGAGAATACGTTTCGTTCCAATTACGAAATGCACCCCATAGCTCAACTCATACATTCCATAATTGCAACGCGGACCAGATCATGGCTGATTCTCAGCGTCTTTCTGTCAGAGGCCACGAAGACTCTCATTCCTGGCCCCAGCTGGGGCCTACCGGCTCAAACTACCCTCCCCTGGACTACCTGCTCGACATAAGTCCGATGAATGGTTACTGGCCAGCAATAGAGCTCAATTCTGATGGTGCACTACCATTGAATTCTGAACTGTTCAGCATGTTTAATACATGATACGGAGGAACGAGCGTGCCCCGTTCAGAGACAGATTATCGCCACCATGCCGACTCAGAAGCAGGATCACCACATTGTAACAACAGAAACCCCGAGGGTTCTCCTCTTCCACCCCTAGCTTTAACTATACAATACGTTCTGGCATCAATTTGCTAAACAGCCATTGCATCTTGACTCACTGCTGCAAGCAAATCCGAGCTTCCTACGTCAAAGGTGCAAATTTTGTGAGGCAGAGAAGTGAGTGAGGGACTTCTTCCTGTACAACGATTACGAAAATTGCAAGAGCAGCTTCGTTGATCAAATTCAGCCAAAATAAATACAACCTCTACCATAAAATTACCTACATAACATGTCTGACAACCACACTGTGCGTCCATGTTAATGTTTCGACTCTATCAAACAACAAGGGTTTGGCTCTGCCATGAAGTCTCTCCTAACCAGTAAACTCGCAGCTTCTTCGCCCCGCCATATTTGACCCCCGTCACACATACTTTGAACATTTCTCCAGGTACAAGATCCAGGCCGTTATCGTCCCACTCGACAGTGTCTTCGTCCTCGAAGTCAAGATAGACTCCTTTCATAGGCACCGACACGGAAAGCTGAATGATGGACCCGATTTCCCCTTCGGTAAGCTTTACAGTGATCTTTCCCTCCTCAGAGGCAAAAGGAACTTCCTTCAATGGCTCGTGGAAATTTACATAACGAGCGATGCGATTTCTCTCAGCGGCTGGATTACTGACCGACGATTCAGGTGCAGAAAAGAGACGAATGGCAAATGCCAGTTCGTTCCATTTGTAATGTGCCTCGCCGCCAAGTCTGGAGTCCAATAGGGTTCTGCCCAATTCCGTGCTTCGGTTAGGGTCAAGTTGGATCTTTGCTGATACTGTATGGGTCCAAACGTTCTGCCCTGTCTCGACATGCCAGGCCTGGATCTCATAGTTGATTGAAACATGGCGCAACGTCATATTGCAAGCCCATGCTTCTAACTCCAGCGAATCCCCACTGACTATACGGGCGAGACCGGCAGTTATTGGCTGATTCTCCCGCTTTACTGTCCAATATGACAGCTTCGGGCGCAAGTCAGAATCGGCGATGGACCATGATGATACCGGCCAGCAGTCGTTTAGTTGCCA